GTGCACTAGCACCTCAACAATCACGGGGTGAAGAGGGAGACGGAGTCCGACGACTAGTTGCTCCCTGAAGACCACGATCTCATTGGGACTGTGCTCCCATGGAAAACTTCCGGTAGGAAGGCTGTAAGAGTATTCCTTAGGAAGGTGGAACCTCTGTATGAGTATTCCTTAGGAAAGTGGAACCTCTATATGAGATCCTGAAGTCTCTCTAGAGTCATGGTGGAAGGGCCGAACTGATCTGGCACCCGACCTCGGTGGGAGGTGGATGCCAGATGACCCAAAGCCACCCGTACATCGGACGGCTGGGTGGCAGGAGAACCACCCTGAGCCGAGGTACCCACCTCGGGCTCGTCGATAAGGCTATCTACACTAGATGACATGAAAGCACGAAAGGAAAGAAAGCTTAGAAAAGAAAAAGAAGCTCGGGGGCTCACTGCAGAAAACACGAACCGAACTGGGGAAATAACTGAGCTAGAAGACCCGAGCTAGGAACCTCAGACGCGAGCTCAACACTGACGCTGAAGACTTTGTGGTGAAGAAATGACCAAGGGTCCCCCACTGTTTATAGCCACTGCATCCGGGCATCAACGGTCGAGATTGAGATGATCCAATGACTCTCAAAGAAACCGGCTACGAGTTCCTCGAGGTGAAATTAGTTTAGTGCATTTTTTGGCATCCGCGAAGTCCAAATCGCGTGACATCCGCGCATAAACCGAACGCGACCCGGGTTTCTTTTGATTGAGCCGAGAACTGAATCGGGCCAGCTAGGCGAATCGTGCGATGGAGTGGCATGAGTATCGAAGCCAAATCCACCCGGCGCGTCATGAACTCCCCGCACAGGGTCAACACTACCAGCATAGGGAGTGGGGGGCAATTGATGGAGGGTGATTTGGCCCGACCTCATAGCATGGGTACACGTGGGTATGACCTTGCTCAAGCGATGACTCAGCGTGACAACACAGCAAGCGCAACCGCAACTCGGTGGGAAGGGCTCACCGAGTTTAGTCTGGCAACTCGACAGGTTAGGCTACTCGTCGAGAGCCGCCTGGCTTGCATCTCCTTCCCAAGGCTGAGGCGCCCCGAGCTACCTCCGAATTCGGGGCCCCCTGACCTTTCCTAGTGCCCGAGCTCCTCCTAGTGGATTTTAGGCCACTTCCAAACAAGAACACCCCAATCCGCCTCTAGATACCTCGAGGTAGAGACACCTCGGGCCAGACAGCTTGGTGTAGCTTGCCACAGGCAACTCACCACTTGCAGGGTAGCTCGGAGAAGAGTAGTTCAGCACATCACAGGAAGGCCTCCTGCCCGACCACTGTACCTGACAAACCTGGAGACTGCAATCACGTCCCTCGTCAGACAGTGTTGTGCCTGCCACCTTTAGAAGGTGTCTTACACCTGACAGGTACGGACCCTACAACGACGGCCCCACGCATGCCACCTCAGCCCTAGTTGTAATAGCTGCGGCAGGACGACAGTGGCGGTTATACCTGCCCTGTTAGAGGCAGGTGGGCCTGATTCGATAGAGTTCTGTTATAAGTAGCCCAATCCCAAAGGACAGAGGTAACTTCTGATACTCGTGCTATCTGCACTCTTAGCTTTCTTCCTCCCTTCGCATCTTTCACAGAACTCTAACTTAAGCATCAGAGTGTTCCCGTTGGGTAAGCCCCCGGGAATCCCTCGTCTTCTCCATCTCAGGTACCTTTTAGGAGCCACACAAGTGCCAAGTAGGAGTGATCGGATCGTGTCGCATCAACTTGAATCAACTCAACTCATTGAAAATGTCCTGGGGCTTTCTACTTTAATGTTTCTAAAAAAGCATGCACATCACATGGGTCTCAA